CAAACCAAAAAAAAAAAAAAAAAAAAAAGAATAGCTATAACTGAATCGCTTTGCTGTACAGCAGAAATTAACACAACATTGTAAATCAACTACACTTCGATTAAAAAAACAACGAAGTTAGGAAGGCAGACGCACAGCGATAACCCAATACGGTACCAAACCGAAGAGACAGAGCTTTAATTACATCCTTATGCTGCTTTTCTCTCTCAAGACAGAATGGGGCAACACTGAAGGCAGCTGAGCATTTGTTCTGCTACCCAAGTTGTGGGGGAAACATCTCCCTCTCTCTTTTTTCTGACGTTGATGGGGAGATGGGAGGTTAGACTGGGAAGCATCCCACTGAAGTCGAAAAAGCACAAGTTCTGAAGCTCTGAAGCTGAAGATCTGTATCTTAAATGCCCGCAGAATGGCCAGGAACAGCCTGGATTCTAAGCAATAGCACATCACACAGGCACGAAGGGATAGAAGGAGAAGTGGAGCAAACAGAAGCCGGACGATGCTTCTGCTATAATGTTCTGTGAAAACAGCAAGACGTGAAATTCTATGGTGTGGATGCAAACGACTAGACACAACCAACTCAAACAAATCGCAATCAGAGAGTCATTTTTTGACTTGGAGGAAAGGCCCCCAAGTGTGATCCTGATTGCCTCTGGGGGGTGGGCCTTTCAGGGATGTGTTTTCTTCCTTCTGCTTTTTGACATTTTCTAAAATGTGCATAAGAAGTATTCAAAACTTTCTTAAGTGAAAAAAATTTTATGAAAAGAGCAGGGTTTAAATGCTGCCTTGTGATGGAGAGCAGGAGGGAAAGCAGACAAACATTTGTAATCACAGATTGCTTCATTCACTAGTCATTGAACCCCTTTGGGATGCAGTCTCCCAGCGGGGATGATGATAACTCTTCTCTCACTGGACTTGTGAATTAGTAGTCAAAGTGGCTACTTTTAGGAAGCAGGAACGGCAGGTGGATCAATGGATATATTTTTGATAAACGGCAGTACAAAAACGTTAGTCACTGTTCTCATCAACAATATTCATATCTAATTCAGTGGTGCTTTCTGGTACCTTCATCTTCCACAATAAGGACTTGCTCGGCCCCCACAGGGACAAAACCAAAAACGAAATGTCACCTCTTATAGATGGAAAGTGTCCCAGAGTTCCTGGTTACAAAGTGCCCAGAGGAAGGACTTGAGGTCCAAAGAGGGAAAATGGGCTGCCCAGGGTCACACAGCATGTTAGCAGCCATAACAACACAAGGCTATTTGAGGCTTGAAAAACCACATCAAAGCACATCAGACAAAACCAGAAACAAAGAATGTCAGTTCATTCCGTGCCTTCTACATCTGGGCTGGATAATTCCTTGCTGTGGGGCAAGGGGCTGTCCTGTGCATTGCAGGATGTTGGGCAGCATCCCTGGTCTCCACTCGCTAGAGGCCAGTAGCAACCTCCCCCCACCCCCTGTGACAATCAGAAATGACTCCAGACATTGCCAAATGTCCCTTGGGCGGGGGCGGGGGGGAGCAAAAGACCACTGATGACCACTGGTACTGCCCCCAGAACTGAATAGACTTTCCCTCCCATTCCTGGGGTTGATCTGCTTTGTTTTGCTTAAATCACTGAATTTTAGGGCGGAGAAGGTCTTAGCCTAATCCCCATCTTACAGATAAGGACACTGACATAAGTGAGGGCTGTATTTCTTTCTCCCACTCACATTTGATCATTCATTCATTTAGCGAGCACCTACTATGTGCCAGACACAGGCAACAGGTGCTAGCATCCAGAGGCCCACCTTGGACAGCAAACAGCCAGAGCTGATGAATACGACCCATTCCTTTCAGCCAGACCCAGCTCACTCAGCCCTGCGGGAACAAGGACCCTCTGGACTTTGAGAAGACTTTCTGGGACAGAAAGGGCAGAGATGGGGGTGGGCTTCGGGTGCCGTGGGGTTTCATCTGGTGCCTCAGTCAGAGCCCTCTACCTGTGCCTGGGCTAACAATACTAACATTCAGATGGTGACTGACACTCTGCAAAGTGCATTCCCAGCTGTGATCTCATTCCAACCTCCAAACAGTTCTGTGAACTTGGCATTTTGTTTTTCCCATTTTATAGATGAAAATAAAAATCAAGCCTCAGAAAGAGGAAGTGACCTGTCCAAGATCACAGAGCAAATTGGGGTTGGATTAGACACGTTCTGACCTTGTTTCCTGTGTCCTTTCCTCTTTTCCACATAAAATAGTTTATTTGAAAAATGCAAGAGTACCTGAAAGGTGTAAAATCAGAAGTATCAGCCCTGTACCACCCCGACCCACCCACCAGTCCTGCCTCCCAAAGGGAACCCCTGTTAAGAGGATCTTGTTTAATCTCCAAATAAAATGTGCTGATATAAAAATAATAAAGCATTTTCACCTTAAAAGGTGTGGCAGCACACAGGAGTGTGGGGTTGAAGTCAGAATTGCTTGGGTTCCAGACTCAGCCTGCTGCTAACTGCCCACAAGACCCTGGACAGTCCCTTCCCTTCTCTGGGCCTCCCTGTTCTCATCTGTAAGGTGGGATCACACCAGCCTTATCTCTTAGGCTTGTCAGAGAGTAAGATGAGACCATGAGTATACAGCACGGCTCACAGAGCAGCTGTCAGCCCTCATAAAGCACTGTTGTCACTGTCGATCTAAACATTCACAGAGTTATGACATCGTATATATTGCTCTGGCACTTACTAAGAGGTGCGTTTTGAAATATTCCAGCCATTCAGAAAGAGTTGAAGAGTAAGGCAACAATACCCGTGTGTGTACACCTTTAGCTTAAGAAACAGCAGGCAAACCAGTACAGCGAATCTCTGCTCGTTCCTCCCTCCCACCCTCTCCTTCTTCTCCACCTCCTGGGAGTAACTACCGTCCTGAATTTGGCCTTGAGCATATTCTCACTTATTATGTGCATTATGTATATTTTACTATTATTATTAGTTATTGTGTGCATTTGTTTATTGTGTCAATATCTCTGAACAATATATTGTGCAGCCTGTTTTCAAACTTTATATATGAATCCTCCTGCAACCTGCTCCTTCCTTTCCTTTCCTTTCGTTCAACATTTTACGAGATTCATCCGTGTTGATAAGTGTAGTTCTGATCAATTCATTTTTCACTGCCGTATAGTATTCCATTACGCTAGTGCCCCACCACCATTTTTTCACTTAAAATCCATCATGGCTATCTTTTTGTCAGCACATATGTGGCCACTTCATGCTTTTTTAATGGCTACATTAAAATATAAACATATACATTATTGAATCAGGCTCTTAATCGATTCATATTCAGGTTGTTATTCTCCACCCTGTCTTCTCAAATAACACTGCAATAAAGACATACCTTTCGTGAACATGTCCAGGTAATTCTTCAGGAACATGTACCAGAAGTTGTATTGCTCAGCCAAAAGATTTACCTATTTAACATTTTGATTGATGCTGAAAAAACACCTTCCAGAATAACCTAAACTTGTTTATTTACCCTGACACCTACTCTACACAAGAGTGCTGCTGCCCTCCAGCTCTGTCTATGCTTAACTTCTGGTGACTGTTAACTTGACCATCTAAGTTGGAACCTGGGGCAGCTGGATCCAGGCATAGTGGGTTTCTAGAATGCACCCCCCTGCCCCAGGTGATTCCGAGGTGCTCTCTCGCTTTCTCTAGTTGTTGCTGCAGGTGTGCCCACGGTTGGTCCTGACCTTTCGCCTGCCTCACCACACTTTTACTCCAGAGCACCCAGGAAGCCCACCCCACCGTAGCCAGACTTTGTGTCACAGATCAGGCCGGGGATTTGTGGCACATGAGGGCTAGCAAGAGAGTGTGGATGCAGTGGCTTGGTAGCAAAAGAAGTTCCATCTAAACAGCTGTAGATTTCTAGGTAGATGGGCTGCTTGGTCAGGTCCCCAAACAGAAGGACGGTTATGGTCATGACACCCAGTGGGATGGTACAAAGTGTTCACAGTACCAAGTGTTATTTCTATTAGCAAAACTCTGGAAACAATTTACCTGCCCATCTATAGGGGGCTAGTTAAATGATTGTAGAAACACAAGATGGAATACACGCAGGGCTCAAACAGATGAGATGAAGTCCCCGGTGAATTACATGGTGAGTAACCCGGTGAGAATGTTCAGAATTACATCTCCCCTTTGACTCAAGTCCACTTAACTCCTGCAGAGAGATGTCTGCCCACGTGCAAAATGACATACATGCAAGGTTAAGCAATGCAGCACTCTCCGCAAACGACTTGGAGACAAACAAAGTACCCATCAATAAGGTTAAATCAATTACGGAACATCCAGACAGAATGCTGTGCAGCTGCAAGAAAAGGATGGCGAAGCTATCTGTGGACCAAAGAGGAGAGATGGCCGTGGTCCGTGTTAGGTTAAAACGCAAAGTGCAGAACAGTACACAGAATCTGTTGTTTTTTGTGTAGAAATGGGGAAAGAAAATAAAGCTAGATTTGTTGGCATTTGCTTATATGTGTATAAAGAAACTCTGAAAGGAGACACAAGAAACTAATCATGATGGTTTTATAGGGGAGGTGGGACACTGGAAATAGGATGGCGAGTAATGGTGGGAAGGACGATTTTCACTACATACCTTTACATCGATACATATGTATGTATCTATGTGTATGTATATGTATATATACATATATAGCTGTGTGTGTCTGTATCAATATTACCTATTCAACAACTATGTAACTAATTTAAAAATAACATAAAGAACAACAGATCTATGTGCCAACACAATTCAGTGTGAGGTGAAAAAAATCAAGGTAGAGTAGTGGGTATAACAGCCCTCATGGGAGTGGAAGGAATACGTTTGAGCAAAGTAATGGGAATTGCCTTAGCAGAGCAGGACTGAGGCTTGCAGTGGGAGAGGGAACCACTTTTTACTGTGCATCATTTTTTAATAATTTCATTAATTTGCCATGTGTGTGCTATTTTTATAGCAATACTAACTAGTAATAGTACTTAACTCCCTGAGGTTTGCCACCCCAGTTTCAGAGGAGGGCAGAGAACCCCAACCTTTCTCAGGGTTTCAGACGGCTCTCACATTTCCACCGGGGGTGGGGAAAATGTGCATCGCTCCAGCAGGGAGTGGGTCCACTTCTCCTTCTCTCCCTCACTTCTCCTGAGAGAGGAGGGATCATCTGATTGGAGGTGTTAGGGAGGGAGGTGCTTGGGATATCTGATATCCATGGCATCCCGTTTCCAGGGCAACAGCACTGGACCAAAAGGCCGGCAGTGGGGCTCCCCCTCTGTCCCCCCTCTTTTCCAGACTTCTCTCCTTGGGCCTGGGTACGCTGAATCAAAGTCACTTGGGGAGGACAGAGTGTAGGTGTCCATCTATGGTCTACAGCCCAGCTTCCTCAGTAATCAAGCTGGTCCCATCTGGCTCCCTGAGTCTGTTTTTCCCACTTGGTTAAAATCAGCGAAGAGGACCACTGAGGGGAGTGACGACCATCCCCACCCTCTAATTAGAGCCCAGAGACTCGGGAGAAACTTCGCATGGGCCTCACTGACTTGCTTATTAATAACATTTAGGTTAAACACAAGTCACCTGAACTTCACCTAGCACTTCACGCTCTTCAGGGAAGTCTTGATTTTGCAGTTATATCAAGGGCCCCGTGGTGGTCCTCTACTTTGGGCAAGACAGATGGGAATCCTCATACACAGGTAGACTGTCAGCCACTGCAGATTTCCCACCACATCTCCAAAGTCGATCCCCAATCAGGATTTGTACCAGATGAGTCCTTGGAAATGATCAAATCATCCGGAGTGGATGGGTAGTACTTCTAAGATGTAAATCAGGTCATAGGATCTCTTTGGTTTGAACCCATCAGTGGCTGCCCATAACACAGAATACGATCAAAACTCCTTTCAGTGTGCTTCAAAGCCTTCTGGGTCTAGCCTTGGACCACCACCCCCCCACCCCCCAGCCAGTATCGTCTCTTACCATGCTTCCCCTCAAACTACAGTATGACCCCATGTGCTTTTTTTCCCCTTAAAACTTCCAAATTCATTCTGTACCTCAGGGCCTTTGCACATGCTGTTCCCTCAGTCTGGCACTCTCTTTGATATCTCTGCTTGGCTGGCTTCCTCTGGTCATCCAGGTCTCAGCTCTCCTTCTCCAAAATCCCCGTTTTCACTTTCTGTATCATTCCTTTCAGAGGGCTTCTCACAACCTGAATTAGTCTTGGTGACTTGTTCTCATGTTCACTGTCTCCCACGAGACGGTCCACACTCATGCCATGTCACCTCTCATGAATACGTGTGTCCCAAGTGTAGAATAACTGTGACATTCAGAAGCTGTCTGGGAACCACAAGACCCCCCTACACTGTTGTCCTCTGTGTTGGGCTTGGTCTTCCCTGTATCTTCTTGAAAAGCTAAGTTAATGCAGTGCTGAGTGCACAGTAAAAGTATATAAACTTTATTTATTTTACTCACTATTATATCCCCCACCAACTACCACAGTGTCTTCCATGGAGAAGAAATCGAAAAAAAATTTATTGAATTCATCAAGGAAGGAAGGTGGTAGAGCGGGAAGAGTGAGGAGAATGGGGAGGGATGGGGAGAAAAAAGGGAAGCTGGGATAGGCAACGCATCTTTGGATTTCTTACAAAGCTCTGCACATGCTAGACGTCCAATGAATGTAGTGGGTGAAGAAGGGAAAGGGTGCTTTGGAACACTTAGCAAGAGCTTAGGAGATAATGAAGTTCCCTTCAAATCCAGAAATTCTAGAATTCTGAATGTGGCCGTGCCTGGGTGCTGGGTGGCTGGGTGTAGACATTACTAACGAAGGCCAAGTGCCCTGGCCTCACTGTGGTGAAAGCTACTCTGGTCCAGTTCTCAGCCTCTCATAGGCCCATTGTTCTAACTTCCTTCCTTTTCTTAGTCTCTATTTTATTTATTCCCTCTCTGATCTTTATTATTTCCTTCCTTCTGCTGACTTTAGGTTTTGTTTGTTCTTCTTTTTCCAGTTCTTTTAGGTGGTGGGTTAGATCGTTTCATTTGAGATTTTTCTTGTTTTTTGAGGTAGGCCTGTATCGCTATGAACTTCCCTCTAATAACTGCTTTTGCCACATCCTATAGATTTTGTATGGTTGTGTTTTCACTGTCATTTGTCTCAAGGCATTTTTAAATTTCCCTTTTGATTTCCTCGTTAACCCGTTGGTTTTTTAGTAACTTCCTTCCTTTTCAACCAATTTTCTCTTCAGGACTGAAATGGACAGATTTCTATTCCATGTCCTCCCTCCACCTGGAGATGAGTTAACTGACAGGGGAATGAGTGCCAGGAAAAAGGGAGGAGGCTAGGATCATTGACTGACCATCCGTGATTCAACACCTCCATCATGGGGGCACAGGAAAGGCCCAGGACCCCCAGCAGAGGAGAGGGAGGAAAATCCCGCAACATGGGGTAGGCACAACCCAGATCATCCAGCCATCCTCTCTACCAGGCTCAGACATTCATCACTCTGAAAAAAAATCATCTAAGGAGATTATTTCCGGGAGCACTGAGTAGTCCCAGACAGAGCACGGGAAACGCCCAGGGCAGGCACCAGGGTTCCATTCCACACAGTCCAGTGGGGAGTCAGATGAGCTCGGCTTTTCATTTTTACAAGGCACCAGAGAACCTGAGGACAGCCATGAAAGATGCAAAGAGAGCAAGTTGTATCTTAAAAAGATATTTTTAGCTATCCTATTATTCCCACGACATGGCTATGAAAACCCTGCTTCTCTTCCGGACTTTGCTTCATAATTTCAGCCCATTCTACCCACAGCAGCCAGAGGGATCTTTCTAAACCACCCCCTTCTAGTGGCCGGTAGTCTCTCCTGTCCTTCCCTTAACTCCTAACACTACCAAAAAGATACTCCTGGATTTTCTCAACTTAACTCCTACCAAAAAGATAAGCCACAACATAAATCACACTATCGTACTTGTCTGGCATCTTTCCCATTCTTCCTTACTAGAAGTAAGTTTCCCGAGGACAGCAATCACGCCTGCCCTATTCGTCACTGTCACCCTAGAACTTATTCCATGACCATGAGCCTGACACATAGGAGGCCCCTCATCAATAGCTATTTAGTGAATCATGGTTATGCCTGCAGCGCTGTGGAGAACAAGACTGGGGGTCTTAGATCAAGTCTACCTCCCTAAGTGAGGGATTACAGACCAGCAGGCAGTTAACACTGCTGGCTACCATAAAGGGAAATCCTTAGTCAACAAAGATGCTTTGGTCTAAGGTTTCGAGGCTGGAGAGCTGTTCTCCGTGAACATACATACCTACTCGTTCTAATTACAGAAGATAATCTCATCACGGTACAGAGAGCAGGAAGGCGGCCCATTCCCATCGACCACACAGTTGGCTTTAG